TCTGTCTGTGGAAGTTCTAGAAAAGAGTTAGCCTTTCCAAGGCAGATACCATGAGAGAGGACAGGTGGTTTGGTGGGCTGGGATATAAGCATTTTTCAGGCAGAGTTTGTATTTATTTATATATGTCTTATTGAAGAAAACTTTGAAGTCAGAAAAATAAGTGTGTACAGAAGGACCTATGGGCAGATGATGATAATTATAATAATAGGAGAAGATATAATAGTTATTTGGTGCTTCCTGTTATAGGCACTTTATTTGTATTAGCTTGTTTGACTCTCAACCCCAGGCCTTTGATGTAGAAGCTGTTATTATCCCCATTTGACAGATAGGTGAACCGAGGTTCAGAGTGACTAAGGTAGCTTGCCCAGGTCACTCAGCCCAGGAGGTACCAGAGCTGGGATTTGAGTCGGACAGCTTGGTTCCAGAGGCTTGTTCAGGAGGGACAGGGGGAATGTGGACCGTGATGGTGAGGTGTCAAGGAGGGTGTGCTGGTGAGGCTGGGCTCGACAAACGCAGGGACTCGCAAGCACAGTAGAGCTTGAGTATTGGCCATCAGGCCACAGGTGGTCAGCTGAGATCCTGGGCTGGGATGGCGCCGAGGGGCAGACCCTGTGTTTTATTTTTTTATTTTATTTTATTTTTTTTAAGATTTTATTTATTTATTTGAGAGAGAGAATGAGACAGAGAGAGAGAGCATGAGATGCGGGAGGATCAGAGGGAGAAGCAGACTCCCTGCTGAGCAGGAAGCCCGATGCGGGACTCGATCCCGGGACTCCAGGATCATGACCTGAGCCGAAGGCAGTCGCTTAACCAACTGAGCCACCCAGGCGCCCAGACCCTGTGTTTTAAACAGGAGAAGGCTGGACTAGGCAACGGAGGTCAGGACTGTTGAGGCGCCGGGGAGGATGGCTGTAGCCCAGGACGTTTGTGTTTGTATGTGATGTGATTCCTGAATGTTCTATTTATTTTTTATTTTTTAAATTCTTTTTTTTTAAGATTTAATTTTTTAAAGATTTATTTATTTATTTAAGAGGGGGGAGAGAGAGACAGTGTGAGCAGGGGGAGGGGCAGAGGGAGAGGGAGAGAGAGAATCTCCAGCAGACTCCCCGCTGAGTGCAGAGCCTAATGCAGAACTCAGTCCCATGACCCTGAGATGATGACCTGAGCCAAAATCAAGAGTTAGATGCTTAACCGGCTGAGCCATGCAGGCACCCCCTAAAGATTTAATTTTAGTTAAAAAATATAATTTAGGGCCACCTGGGTGGCTCAGCCGTTAAGCGTCTGCCTTCAGCTCAGATCATGATCCCAGAGTCCTGGGATCGAGCCCTGCATCAGGCTCCCTGCTCTGCGGGAAGCCTGCTTCTCCCTCTCCCACTCCCTCTGCTTGTGTTCCCTCTCTCGCTGTGTCTCTCTCTGTCAAATAAATAAAATCTTTTTTTTTAATAAATAAAATCTTTAAAAAATTAATTTAATTTAATTTAAAAATATATATGTATATATATATCTATTTTTTAAGTAATCTCTACACCCAACATAGGGCTCGAACTTTAAACCCTGAGATCAAGAGTTGCATGCTTTACTGACTGAGCCAGCCAGGTGTCCCTATTCTTGAATGTTCTAGATCTGAAGGTCTGAGAGGTCTCAAAAGAACTTAGCAAAAGAAGTGATGCAGAAACAATCCCCAAATTCATATGCTGTGATTTCTTTTTTGGTGGCCCTTTATTTCAGACAATAGTTTTTAGTTTAATTAGAAGCTATTCTTTATTTGGGTCGTGTCATAGGTTGGATTCTAAGGAAGCTGACTCCGAGATGTCAATTATTGTACCAAGACGTTTATTAGGGAGTGTTCTTGGGATCCACACCTAGGGAAGGGCAGGGAAGGGAAAAGGAGTAGGATGGGATGGAGGGAGAACTTGAGTTGCATTGTAGCCTCAGCCTGTTCCCCAGGGGAGCTTTGGGGCAGGAATAGCCTTTCTGTGTTGCCCCAAATTGGGGGTTGGGGCATTGGGGCAGTAGAGCTGGGGCTCCCTGGAGCTGCCTTCCTCCTCTCATTCATTGGTGAGGCACTGGATACCAGCTGCCCCTGCCCCATGTGGAAGGCACGCCCCTCTGCCTGTCCTCAAAATGGCTGGTAGCTTAGGGCCTTCATCTGGCAGAAGTCCCAGCAGCTGGAAAACAAGTTCTTCATTCCTGAAGGGAGATCAGGCTCGAGCATCACGCTGCACATCACAGGTGTCAAGTTGTAAAATTTGAGGATCTTAAAAAAACCGAGTTCCCATCATCAAAGCAGAGAAAGCTGGGACAAAAATCAAAGCATTTCATTATCAGCTTTCATTTCATTCCCAATAACAGCTGAGTAAGAGATGTCCAAGTGCTCAGTTTTCAATTAAGTGAGGGCTATTTGATTTAATTTCTAATCGGTTATTACGTTTGGTTATAAATTTGACATTAAAATGTAATGCCAAATATACAGATACAATGTATTGGAAATAATTCACAGGTAAAATGGACCTGACTTTTAAAAGTCTTTCCCCTATTAAGCCACGGTTTTTCTGAGAAACAGCATGGCTTATAAAAGTATGGTATAAAAAGGGGAAAAGGGGCACCTAGGTGGCTCAGGCAGTTAAGCATCAGACTGTTGGTTTCAGCTCAGGTCATGATCTCAGGGTCGTGAGATCGAGCCCCACATCAGGCTTCCAGCTCAGCTTGGAGTCTGCTTGTCCATTCCTGTCTGTTCCTTCCCCCAGCTCTCACATTCTCTCTCATAAATAAAAAATAAAAAATAAAAATAAATATTTAAAAAATAAAAAAAAAAAGGGAAAGAAGAGGGTGTAAGGGGAACCTGTGTGCTAATCTGAGCTCTGCTATTTCATAGCTATGAAAAACATGGGCCAGATACTTAATTTTCTCATATGTAAAACGGGACAGAGAATGTTTATCTGGACTAATTTACAGTGTGTGTCAAATTGAGATAAATGGATAAAAGCACTTTTAAAATTTTATTTAATTTTATTTATTTATTTTTAAAGATTTTATTTATTTATTTGTTAGAGAGAGAGAGTGCACAAGCAGGCAGAGAGAGTAGACTCCTTGCTGAGTAGGGAACCCGACGCGGGTGGGGCTCATTCCCAGGACCCTGGGATCATGACCCGAGCCAAAGGCAGACGCTTAACCAACTGAGCTACCAGGTGCCCCAGTATAAAAGTACTCTTTATTTTTATTTATTTATTTATTTGACAGAGAAAGACACAGCGAGAGAGGGAACACAAACGGGGAGTGGGAGAGGGAGAAGCAGACTCCCTGCCGAGCAGGGAGCCCGGTGCGGGGACCCGATCCCGGGACTCCAGGATCATAACCTGAGCCGAAGGCAGTTGCTTAACCAACTGAGCCACCCAGGCACCCTAAAAGTACTCTTTAAATACTAATGCCAAAACAAAAACAAAAACCCTCAAGGACTTTAGAGAACATCTAGTTCAGATTTTTTTTTTTTTTTTTTTGAGAGAGAGAATGAGATAGAGAGAGAGCATGAGAGGGGGGAGGGCCAGAGGGAGAAGCAGACTCCCCGCCGAGCAGGGAGCCCGATGCGGGACTCGATCCCAGGACTCCAGGATCATGACCTGAGCCGAAGGCAGTCGCTTAACCAGCTGAGCCACCCAGGCGCCCGAGAACATCTAGTTCAAACCTTTCATGTTTCAGGTGAGAAAAGGGAGCCTCAAGACCATATTCAGTTATGTGAGTAATTACATAAAGCAAAAATGTGCTTGCATTAATCTAAGGAAGACGGAACTCTTAGAAGGATAAAGAAAGCACACGTGGTGAATTTGAGCATGGAAAACACGAATGGGGGTGATTGTGCAAGCGCAGGTTTGCAGCGGAGCCTGGATCTCCCAGAGTCCTGTCACTGGTGCTTACTGTCGAATGCTGGACCCTCCGGCCCACCCACCGCTGCCCTCAGTTTGTTAGCCCTGCCTCCCCTCACCCAGTGCTTCACCCCCAATACCCACCACCTCTTCTTTCCTTTTCCACTGGGCAGGGCGAGATTCTCGGGAGAGGATCTAGCCCATTTCTGGCTAGAGCCAGGGCTCCCTCTCAGACCCAGCTGTGTGATCTTAGGCACGGCTCTTTCCTTCTCATTGGCTTGGTTCCTCGTGTAAAACTGGGGTAATAACACTTGTCCTGCTGATCTGTCATGCTTGTTTCAAGGATCAAACGACATAATGTATGTGAAAACACTTTAAAAATACAAAATGCCCTACAAATGTTGAGTGTCATTATCCTCCTAACTGCTCCTCCCCTGCCTCCTCGCCTCCCTCCCTGCCTCCTCGCCTCCCTCCCTGCCTCCCTGGCCTCCAGCTTTGCTGGCTTCCTGCCAGGAGTGTCTGACAAGTGGTTGCAATTAATTATTTGTTGAGAAGCTTTCTCTGAATCATGAAATGTCATTTGGGAAGCTGTTCTTGGACTAGTAGGAATCTAATTAGATTATTGGGAGTTGCAGAGGCACCTGGGCGGCTCAGTTGGTGAAGCGTCTACCTTTGGCTCAGGTCATGATCTCAGGGCCCTGGGATCGAGTCCCGTGTCGGGCTCCCTGCTCAGTGGGGAGCCTGCTTCTCTCTCTTCCTCTGCAGCTATCCCTGCTTGTGCTTGGTCTCTCTCTCTCTCTCTCAAATAAATAAATAAAATCTTTTTAAAAATTAAAAATTAAAAAAAAAGATTATTGGGAGTTGCAGAGGGAAACATAAAAAGTGAAAGAAATGACATTTGAAAGAAATATTTTATTTTCATTTCCGTTGATAATGGAAGTATTGGCCTGCAATTGTGGCAAAAAGCATTTAAAGAAAATATTTAAGATACTGGTGATGGGGTCTGAGACCCAGGAGGACCTTGGATCTCCTGAATCTCTTCACCTTGGAGAAGCCGTAGGAGGAGCCCGGCCTCGGGTGCTCCATCAGCGGGAAGGCTCTTCTGTCCCCTCCTGAAGGGCCCGCCTCTGTCCTCCTCAGGCTCCCTGGAGTTGGGCAGGGGTGCAGTACACACGTCGGAACCTGAAGTCCGAGTTGCTGAGAACAAACGTGAGTGCGGGGCCGCTGTGGGGGGGTGTCTGGGGCTGGCGGGAGCAGGTGCAGGCCCCGGGGACTTGGAGAGCATCCAGCACAGACTGCTGTTGGGGGCCATTTCCCCTCTCCCATTTGTTGCGGCACCTTCCCCTGGCTCACTTCTGTCCTGTCTGCAGCCGCCAAGTTGTCCTGCTCCTACTCTGGCTTCTCCTCTCCCCGTGTGGAGTGGAAATTTGCCCAAGGTGACATCACCAGCCTCGTTTGCTATAACAACAAGATCACGGGTGAGTTGCTCCGCTTCCTTCCTGATGGCCCAGGTTGTGGAGGGATTGCTGGGCCTGGATTCCAGGGGAGAGGTGCAGCCTGGGGCTCCGGTCCCGTGGACTTCCCGTGGCCTCTCCTGCCCAGCTTCTCTTGGCCCCCAGCTCATTCAGCCCCTCCTCCTTCTCTCCTGGTAGCTTCCTATGAGCACCGAGTTGCCTTCTCACATAGTGGCATCACTTTCTACTCTGTGACCCGGAAAGACACGGGGATGTATACGTGTATGGTCTCTGATGAAGGCGGCAACACCTATGGGGAGGTCACCGTCAAGCTCCTTGTGCTTGGTATGTGCTACACTTTCTCTGTGTGGTCTTGGCATTCATTGTTTCCCTAAACCCTCACAGGCTCTGCTAAGCTTTGGAGCTCACTGATGGTGAGAACACTCATGGGTGGGAGGATTCAGAGTCACAGTGCCAGCAGAGAGGGGATGCGCCCCTGGGTAGGGGGAGGCTGAGGGCATGGTGAGGGATAGAGGCTAGAGCTGATGGATTGCGCTATCAGCAACTTAGCCTCTAGGCAGTGCTCTCTGACCTTGTGCTCAGCCCCTTCTGTCCCTTCACAGTGCCTCCATCCAAGCCTACGATCAACATCCCCTCCTCTGCCACCATTGGGAGTCGGGCAGTGCTGACCTGCTCCGAGAAAGACGGCTCTCCCCCTTCTGAGTTCTACTGGTTCAAGGACGGGGTCCTGATGCCTACAGAGCCCAAGAGCAACCGTGCCTTCAGCAACTCTTCCTATAGCCTGAATCACAAGACAGGGGAGCTGGTAGGGATGGGGTAGCAAGGAAAGGTGTGGGGGGCACAGTTATAGAACCCTTGAAGGTGGGGAAGAACAGCAGCGAGGTGAACTTGGCATCAGGGTCAGAAGACAAAAGATGGGTACTTGGACGCTATCAGGATGAGCATTGCATAATATATAGAACTGTTCAATCACTATGTTGTACACCTGAAAGTAACGTAATATTATATGTCAGCTCTAGTGCAATTATTTTATTTTATTTTTTTTTAAGATTTTATTTATTTATTTGACAGAGAGAGACATAGCGAGAGCAGGAACACAAGCAGGGGGAGAGGGAGAGGGAGAAGCAGGCTTCCCGCTGAGCAGGGAGCCCGATGCGGGGCTCGATCCCAGGACCCTGGGATCATGACCTGAGCCGAAGGCAGACGCTTCACGACTGAGCCACCCAGGCGCCCCAACTCTAGTGCAATTAAAAAACAAAAATAGGGGGCACCTGGCTGATTCAGTCGGTGGAGCGTGTGACTCTTGGTCTCGGGGTTGTGAGTTCAAACTCCACGTTGGGCGTAGAACTTATTTAAAAAAACAAAAAACAGGGGCGCCTGGGTGGCTCAGTCGTTAAGCGTCTGCCTTCGGTTCAGGTCATGATCCCAGCGTCCTGGGATCGAGCCCCGCATCGGGCTCCCTGCTCACCCGGGAAGCCTGTTTCTTCCTCTCCCACTCCCCCTGCTTGTGTTCCCTCTCTGGCTGTGTCTCTCTCTCTCTGTCAAATAAATAAAATAAAATCTTTAAAAAAAAAACAAAAAAACCAAAAACCAAAAACCAAAAACAAAACAAACAAAAAAACAAAAAGCAAAACAAACAAAAAAACAAGAATAGGTACTTGGCGTTTTCAGGCAGCAAGCCAACGGTTTTCTTCCCTCCAGGTCTTTGATCCTGTGTCAGCCTCTGATACTGGAGGATACACTTGTCAGGCACAGAATGGGTATGGGGCCCCCATGAGGTCAGATACCGTGCACATGGAAGCTGGTGAGCAAGGGTGTATGGAGCAGCGGCTTGAGCGCAGGCCTGGGGCGGGGACTGGGGTCTGCTTTTCATCCTGGCTTTGGTCGCGGTGTCAGCGGTGTGAGTGAGGCTTCAGGGCACTGACCTCTCGTTTGTGTCCCCTAGCGGAGTTGAATGTGGGGGGCATCGTGGCAGCTGTCCTCGTCACACTCATTCTCCTTGGATTCTTGATTTTGGGCATCTGGTTCGCCTATAGACGAGGCTACTTTGACAGTGAGTATTTGCCCTCAAAGGCTCTCCTTTTTATCGTCCCCCTTTCAGGGCACGGTTCTTGGGTGCCATCTGAGTACTGACCTGATAGTGAGCCCACATGTGCGGGCTTATCTCCCGGGTGAGCACCACTTACCTACTGCATGCTGTTTCTCCCACCCTTCTGTGCCTGGCTCTCTTCTGTCCTGCTCACAGTCACGGTCCCGTTTCTTCTCTTTCAGGAACAAAGAAGGGGTGAGTGAGGTGCTGTCCTGGGGATCTCTGAGGTTGAAAACATGGATGCCTGTGGTTTGAAGCTGAGATGGGCCCAGGGAAAGGGGTTGGAGGTGGAGGCAGCCCTGGTTGGGTGGACATCCGGGTTTCTACCTCTCCCTGTTCCCTGTGGCCTTCCATTTGTCCTATCTCCCTCCACCCACACCTCCCTGCTGAGAACTCTGTGCTTCTGTAAAGCTCTCAGTCCCGCCTCTGGAGTTGGCAAGCAGGGGCTAAGGAGAGCACTAGGGGACTGAGTATCTCTGTCTTCTGACTTGTCTGCAGGACCTCAAGTAAGAAGGTGATTTACAGCCAGCCCACTGCTCGCAGTGAAGTGAGTGTGCTACCCTGGGACGAGGAGGGGGCTTCTAGCCTGTGTCTACAGGTATGGGAGATGATCAGCTAAAGAAGAGGATAGAGTTGATTTGGATGTTTTTATTTCCCCAGGGGGAGTTCAGGCAGACCTCGTCATTCCTGGTGTGACCCTGGTCCGGCTCATATCCTGTCCTCTGTGCTTGCCTTATGCTGGTGCTACCAGACTCTGGCCCGTGATGTCTGTACTTTCACAGGGCGCCTTATGTGTCTTCTAGCCCCCACAGGGGTCCCCACTTTTATTTTAGATAGGATGTGGTTTTTTTTGTTAACGTCGGCTATGTACCCCTTCCTCCTGCATCCCTCCCCTCCTTTCCCACCACTGCTGAGTGGCCTGGGACTTGTTTAAAGCCTTCCTTCCCCATCCTTATGAGGGATCAGGCAGGAGTCCGGACTGACGCCCGTTGACTTCCTTCCAAGTAGGAGACAACAGTGGCGGGCACTCTCTACCCCCTGTGTGTCGTGGCCCACGAGTAGTGATCTTGAGCTTATCCCTCAGCCCTTTCCTCCCATGCTAAGGAGGTATGGGCTGTTTCAGAGTGGGGAGCTCTCATCAGACCGAGCAGCTGAAAAGGTTTGGTGACAACGCCAAGTCTCTCCTGCCTCTGCAGCCCACTTAGTTCTGTCTTCCCATGGGAAGTGCCACTGGGATCCTCAGCACAAGCAGCCCGACACCAGCTGTGTCTGTAGGAAAAAAACCCAGGAGCTTTGGTTATGGAGAGCATAGTGAGCTTTCAGGGGACACGGAGCAGAAAAGTTTTAAAACCACTGATGTAAAGAAAAGGGAGCTGGAGCTGGCAGCTCAAACCATCACCCTTGGCTGGAGCAGCTGGATGGACGCTGTTGAGATGTCTGCAGGGCTGTGGGAATGTATGTAGTCGTCTTAGCTCTTTGCTGAGCACGCGCGCGTGTTTGTGTGTGTGTGTGTGTGTATGGGGTGTCGTGTCTTAGCTCCGCTGAAATCCAGTATATGTTGGAGGGCTTCTTAGCTCTTCGGTGAGATTTTGTTGGTGTGTGCTTGTATGTAGCTGGATGTTGTTGGAAATAAAAACTTGGTTTGTCAAAGCTGCTTGTTGTGGGAAGTGGGGGAAATGAGGTTCCTGGGCTCCTTTGTACAAACAGGAAGCTGCCTGAGGCCCCATTTCCCTGCAACCTGGGTTGGTCCTGGCTCCCTGTCCCACCCCTTCCTGGTTCCTGTCTCAAGGTGGAGCGCCTGAGCATTGGACCCTCGTTCCATAGAGCCCTCTTGTGGCAGGAGGAGAGCCTTCTGGAGGAGTGCCAACCCCCCTCCCCTCCCCTGAAGCTGAGGCTGTGCTCTGGGGTTTGGCTTGGTCTGATCCACCGAGGGAGAGGAGAAAGTCCACCCTCCCACCTCTGCCAACCAGATGCATTAATAGACTTCTCTAAGGCTGTGGGAAAACTGCTCCGGAGCCTGAGGCAGGAGGGTTCCTCAAACCCTTTGGTGAGCTCCTTTTTTAGCAGTAGTTGAAAGTAGTAATTACTACTTTATTTAAGTGGGGTAGAGGTAGGGGGTTGCTGTTTAAGGAAAAGAGAGTTTGAGACCAGCCTGTGAAGCTGTCTGCATGGGAGTGAGCAGCAGTAAGCAAGGTGGGCCTGCCTTTCATTGCTTTCCTCTGTCCATCTGGACCCTTTTTTGCCTTTAGATTTCTGTTTCCCCATCTACCACAGTCTCCCAGTCTATTTATTAACTAGTAAGAGGGCAAATAAGGGGTTTTGTAGGGCTGATTTTGCTTATTTCTTTCTGTGGAGGACGCTGAGCCCCACTCTGCCATGTTTTATTCCCGTATCTGGAAATCCCTAACAGAATTGAGTGTTTTATCAAGAATCCAAAAAGAAAAACAAAGCCAACCAAATCATCAGTTAAGGGTCATGCACCAATAAAAAAATAAATATTCCAGATGGAAATAATGAAACAAAGTAGAGATTATGAAACGGTTCAGTAAGAATGAGATTTTTAAAGTATGTTTCAGCTTTGTATCCTACTTGGGAGATGGGGTGGGAAGGAGGTAGAGAAAACACGGCAAGGAAGCAGAGGTGATTCATTGTTCCAAGTCTGAGGTGAATGGTTCCTCACTCCCTCAGTCACTTGTGGTGAGTAGGAGGCATTTATTACCAGCCTTGGAATTTACCACAGCCCCTTTGACAAAGTTGGAAAACACCTTGTCTGTTTTCATTTTGAAATGTCAAAACTCATTTTTGTAATAAACGTTTATTTTTCACATTGAGTTTGTTTAAATCCTTAAGGTCTGTGTTAAAAGAAGAGGGACTTCCAGAGTGACTTGGATATTCAAAATCTTTATAGTCTTATTAAGAGATTTGAGGTATCCTTCCACAGAGCCTGATAACTGTTCCTTAAACTTACCATTGGCCTGTTGCTTAATGGGATTGATGCAAATGGACATTTCTTAACATTGAATTAACACTTGTGGGGAAGCAATTCTATGCGGACAGGAACCCAGTGTGATTGGGGATAAAATGATGGTCAAGGATGTGTTGTGTTTTGTTTTTTATTTTAAAGATTTTTTTTTTTATTTGACAGCACAAGCAGGAGGAGTGGCAGGCTCCCACTGAGCAAGGAGCCTGACACAGGGCTCAATCCCAGGACCCTAGGATCATGACCTGAGCCAAAGGCAGATGCTTAACTGACTGAGCCACCCAGGCGCCCCAGGATGTGTTCTGTCTTAACAGATTCTACAGATGGGGGAACCTGGCTGGCTCAGTTGGTGGAACATGCAACTCTTGATCTTGGGGTTGTGGGTTTGAGCCCCATGTTGGGTGTAAAGAAATCTTCAAAAAAAAAAATACAGGCACCTGGGTGGCTCAGTTAAATGACCTATTCTCGATCTCAGTTCAGGGCTTGCTCTCAGGGTCCTGAGTTCAAGCCCTGTATTGGGCTCCATGCTGGGCCCTTAACAAACCTACTTAACAAACCAAAAAACAAAAACCCACAGCAGAATCTACATATCAAGGATGAGGGAAGGAAATAGGTTTGGTCCATTTCTGAATGAAGGGACAAGTATGTTTTATGGGGGTATGGGGACAACTTAAGGGGAATAAATGAAGAAAATGCAACTTTAAGGGAAAAAAAGCTGTAATTCTGTAGCTCCTCTGATTTAGTACCCCTATGGTATTAGCTGTGAAAATTTAATGAAATGGAAAAAAATTTTTTGGAGGGCTAACTTGTTGAATGATTATTATCATCCATTAATTTATTTATAGGGTATTATTAATTTCCCTATACCACAGATGGGGAAAAGCAGCACAAATGTTAGTAATTTACCCAAATTTACAACTAGTACTAGGCAAGTGGAAGGTCTGGGATTAAAGACAACTGGGAGAGAAGTTTCCTGAATGGGAAAGAATGCAGAAAGAGGAGGAGGAGCTGAAATAAGTTCGCTTTCTTTTTAGAAGTGGCTGTGTGGGTGTTAGGAAAGGACATTGAAAGTAATGATGTCCACCTGGGTTTCCCCTCCAACTGTGACTGTCACTTGAATTGGCCATCCCAACAGGATCTACAGGACAGAGTGGCCTATGAGTGCCACCTTCTGGAATGAAGGATAAAGCCACTGCATGCTTGCCAGTGACAGGTGAAAATCAGAAGGCGTACATATATTTGTGGATGGCAAAGAGAAGAGCAACATCATCAGCTTGCAGAATGAGAATTCAAAAACATCTCAATAGAACAAACATGGTTACCCATAGGGGCTTGGGGGGTGGTGTGTGTGGTATGGGTGAAACAGGTGAAGGGGATTAAGAGTCCACTTATCTCGGGGCGCCTGGGTGGCTCAGTTGAGCATCTGCCTTCAGCTCAGGTCATGATCCCAGGGTCCTGGGATCGAGCCCCGCATCGGGCTCCCTGCTCAGCGGGAAGCCTGCTTCTCCCTCTCCCACTCCCCCTGCTTGTGTTCCTTCTCTGTCTCTCTCTGTCAAATAAATAAAATCTTAAAAAAGAGAGTGCACTTATCTTGAGCACTAATACATGGAATTGCTGAATCATTATATTGTGCACCTGAAACTAATATAACACTGTATGTTAACTACATTGGAATTAAAACTAAAAAAATCTCAATAGGCAGGAATGATAGGCTCCATCTTATAGACCAAAATTCAATAGTAATAAGTGTAAGATTCTGCCTCTGGGTCCAAAAAGCCAACTGGTCACAAATAAAGATGGAAAGATACAGAACAATTTAAAGACTACTGTATGAATGGCCTCAAGGAAGAAAATTAGGACCAATGGTTGGATGTCCAAAGGACTGTTTATAATTCAGACTGTGCCCTTCAGAGCTCTCAGGATTGTGTTGTGTCCTGGAAAGATGGCCAGCTTTGGAGTTGAAGACCTTATTTGACTCCAGCCTTTGATGTTGGCAAAGTTTTCTCTGTCAGTCTCTTGTCACCTAACAAATGGTGATAATACCCACCCTATGAAGTTTTTAGAAGCAAATGAGACAAGATCTGGAAAGCACTTTATGTCACCTCACACGAGCTGTGCACAATCGCCTTCAAACTGGATATTTTAGGCCAGGGGTTGGCAAACTTAAGTAAATGACCAGAGAATAAAATTTTTATTACTATTACAAAAGTTTATTTAACAAAGAAGTTCAATAAGAAAATGTACATGACTCAGGCGCCTGGGTGGCTCAGTCATTAAGCGTCTGCCTTCAGCTCAGGTCATGATCCCAGGGTCCTGGGATCGAGCCCTGCATTGGGCTCTCTGCCCAGTGGGAAGCCTGCTTTTCCCTCCCCCACTCCCCCTGCTGTGTTCCCTCTCTCGCTGTGTCTCTGTCAAATAAATAACTAAAATCTTAAAAGAAAATGTACCTGACCTAATTTTTATATTGCACTAAAATGTGCTGTGGAGAGAAGACATGGAAGCATTGATTTCTCTGGTTTATATTCTGGTTTTGTTGTTCATACTTGTGGAAGGCTTCTACCATGATACTCTTTCCTACTGTTATCACCATTCTAATGTTGCTATGTCGCCCACTGGCCACCACTTCCACATGCTCATCCATCACAAAATTCATAAAGGGGTCAAATCACAATATTCCTTAGACATAGATGCTACCATTTAATTTCAACTATAACTTCTTGCCCATGAATTTTTCCAACTAAGGGGATGAACATCTACCCAGCAAGCTCAAAGATACCTTCAAAGAAAATTCTTTATACTTTTAGACATACAATCTCTATACAACTTTACAGGTATAGCAAGAAAACATCCATAGACTGTGAATGAACATGGCTGTGTTCCATTAAAACTTCATTTATGGACACTGAAATGTGAATTTCATAATTTCCATATGTCATGATTTTTTCCCCAATCATTTACAAATGTAAAAACAAATCTTAGATCCCAGGCTGCACAAAAACAAGTGATGGGCCAGCAATTAGTATTTTACTTAAAGTTAAAAGACAGCATCTAACCCCATTTTTTTCTAATTACGTTATTTTACTTATTATTATTTTTAAAAATGATTTCTGGTTACTTAGGCATTTATTTATAAGAGAGAGAGAGAGAGCGAGCAAGCACAAGCAGAGAGGAGGAGAATCCCAAACTCAATCTCAGGCCTGTGAGATCATGGCCTGAGCCGAAGTCAAGAGTTGGACACTTAACTGACTGAGCCACCCAGGTGCCCCTCTAATTAAGTTATTTTAATTCCAGTATAGTTAACATACAGTGCTATATTAGTTTTAGGTGTACAATATAGTGATTCAACAATTCTATACATCACTCTGTTCTCATCATAAATGTTAACTCCATTTAGTTTTGAATGCAGACTTTAAGATTCCTTTGGTCCAGGTCTGTAACCTCTCTGGGGAGAAAGGAAGTCAAGACAGAGTGGGTGGTAGCAGCTGGACAAGTATAAAGTGAAATCATCAGAGGGTGCAGGAGAGAAAGGAGTGAAGGGAAAACCAGTATGCCAGTAAGAAGTGATGGGGGAGGAAGGTTAACTAACTGGTGGAGAGACACATACCCACTGAATCTTTATTTTATTTTATTTTATTTTATATTTTATTGTTTAAAAGATTTATCCATTCATGTTAGAGAAAGAGAGAGAGGGGTGCCTGGGTGGCTCAGATGGTTGAGCACCTTCAGCTTGGGTCATGATCCCGGGGTCCTGGTATGGAGCCCCATATCAAGCTCCTGGCTCGTTGGGGAGCCTGCTTCTCCCTCTACCTCTGCCTCTCCCCCTGCTCATGCTCTCTCTCTCTCTCTCTGTATCTCTGTGTCTCAAATGAATAAATAAAATCTTAAAAAAAAAAGCGTGCAAGCAAGGGACGGGGCAGTGGGAGAGGGAGAGAGGGAGAGAGAGAGAAGGAGAGAGAGAGAGAGAAACAGATTCCCCACTGAATGCAGAGCCTGAGGTGATGCTGGACTCCATGGCCCTGAGATCACAACCCGAACTGAAATCAAGATTCCTATGCTCAACTGAATGAGCCACTCAGGTGCCCCTAAGTCATTTTATTTTATTTTATTTTATTATTTTTAAAGGTTTTATTTATTTGAGAGAGAGAGAGCATGAGTGGGGGGAGGAGCAGAGGGAGAGGACTCCCCACTGAGCAGGGAGCCCGACATGGGGCTCGATCCAAGGACCCAGTGATCATGACCTGAGCTAAAGGTAGATGCTTAACCAACTGAGCCACCCAGGTGACCCAGCCACCTAAGTCATTTTAGAACAACACTTATATTCAGTTTCTGTTTCTAGTTGATTCCTATTTGGTTATTAAACTATGTGGAAATAATGCAATAGTTTTCAGTAATAAATCTATTATTTATAACTCCTTAGGTGATGTCACCAACTTCCTTAAGGGTGGGGAGCTTGTGTTATTGTATTTGCCCAGTACATTGTGCTGGTGTCTGGTACATTGTGCCAGTCAATAAAGGGTGAATGAGTAAGTATCACGTTCCAAAATTTGAATGAGGTAAGTTGAGATAACTAAGGAGCTGCTCTGTTGGCTGTCATTGTTGTTACCTCTCGTTATTTGTGTGCAAGCCAAATGAAAATAAGTGGAAGGGGAATGGTGGACAGAGGATTACAGACCCTGAATATTTATTTATTTATTAGTTTTTTAGATTTTATTTATTTATTCATAAGAGACAGAGAGAGAGAGAGGCAGAGGGAGAAGTAGGCTCCCCGCTGAGCAGGGATGCGGGACTCGATCCCAGGACTCTGGGATCATGACCTGAGCCGAAGGCAGACGCTTAACCATCTGAGCCACCCAGGCACCCCAGACCCTGAATATTTAAATGTTGGCACCACAAACATTTTGTTCTTGGTGAATGGGCAGTGGAGTCAGTAGAACAGGGTGCAGGGCCAAGAAAAGAATGAAGTGGACTCATTTACTTATCTCTGGTATGCTGAGTCCTTTCTAGGTGGCTGGGCTCCTGGATCGAGTGTTATTCCTACCTCTGAACCACTGTGGTAAGTAAGTAAAAGCCACACTGAAACTCCCTGGGGAGACAACCTACACAAAAAAGCTAAGTGCTGAGAATGAGATCTCTTTACCTGCCCTGGGAAGGAGCTTGGCAGGGGCAGTGTAGCCAGGGAGTTAGATGAGGAGCAAGGACAACTCCCAAGGCCCCAGGCCTTCCTCACCCCTTTCCACCAATGTTTTGGCAACATTCCAAACAAGATTGTGACTTTAATTATTTGCACACAGAACATCTGCAGTCAATATCTATGGTAGGGGAAGAAAAAGCCTTTTTCCATCTATCCTCCTAGGTTCTCAGGTTGGGGACCTGTGACTCAGAGTGCAAAAGACAGACTAACAAGTAAATATATGTACTTTAGAGAGAACATGAGCAGGGGTGGGGGGAGCAGAGGGAGAGGGAGAGAATCTCAGACTCCCTGCTGAGCGCAGAGCCTGACGCGGGGTTTGATCTCATGACCCTGAGATCATGACCTGAGCTGAAATCAAGAGTCTGACCCTGAACCAACTGAGCCACCCAGGTGCCCCCAGACTAACAAGTATATTAACAGGCATATCATGAAATCACATGGGAGCACTCTGAGATGAGTAACTCAAATTAGTGGTTAGAACTCAGGCTTCAATAGGGGTGCCCACCTGGTTCAGTTGGTAGAGCATGTGACTCATGATCTCAGGGTTGTGAGTTTAAGCCCCATATTGGGTGAAAAGATTACTTAAAAAAGAAAAAAAAAGAACTTGGACTTTTGTAGCATCTTTTTTTTTTTAAAAGATTTTATTTATTTTACAGAGAGAGACACAGTGAGAGAGGGAACACAAGCAGGGGGAATGGCAGAGGGAGAAGCAGGCTTCCCGCCGAGCAGGGAGCCCAATGTGGGGCTCAATCCCAGGACCCTGGGATCATGACCTGAGCCGAAGGCAGCCGCTTAACTGACTGAGCCACCCAGGCACCCTTTTTGTAGCATCTTAACAAAAGAATAACACATTTTTTAGAGATGTGATAAGACAAAGGAAAAGGAGTTTCTAGGGGAACAAATTATGGGAAAATAAATATATGGGGAAAATGAATGGAAGATAAGGTCTACTTTTCTTTTCTTTTCTTTTTTTTTAAGATTTTATTTATTTATTTGACAGAGAGAGAGCGAGAGAGGGAACACAAGCAGGGGGAGTGGGAGAGGGAGAAGCAGGCTTCCCGCTGAGCAGGGAGCCCGATGCGGGGCTTGATCCCAGGACCCTGAGATCATGACCTGAGCCGAAGGCAAACGCTTAACGACTGAGCCACCCAGGCGCCCTACTTTTCTTTTTTTAATAGTTTTTTCTTCCCTATGTAATCACTTTACTTATTTATTTTTTAAGTAATTTCTACACCTAACATGGGGCTTGAACTCACACCCCCAGATGGAGTTGCATGCTCCACTGAGTAAGCCAGTCAGGAACCCCAGTAAGGGCTACTTTGTAAGGATTGTTCTGTAGGTTCTTCTGGTGCCATCTCTGGGCTAAGGGTCTAGAGCTCTCACCAGTGATTAACTTCTGTCTTATCTGGTAGAGAAGATGGGAGAGACACCTTTACAAATTGATGTCTTGCTTTTAGGTCAATAGGGGAAGGGCAGAGAGCTTTTCTTGTATCTACTTCTTAATTGCCTTCAGCTCAAAATTGCAATATGCTTAAGTGGCATCTTTTGGGGTGGCATATTCTGCCATGCTTCAATGTCTTTTTTGGGGAGGGGAGTACTCCACAAAACACAGGTTGAGATCCTTAAGGATGTCCAGGCTGAGAAGGGTGGCATTAGTGTCAGGTTAAAACCATAGTAGATTGGGGCATCTGGCTGCCTCAATCAGCGAAACATGTGACTCTTGATCTCAGGGTTGTAAGTTTGAGACCCACGATGGGTGTAGAGGTTACTTAAAAGAATAAAAATCTTCAGAAAAAAAACCATCGGGCACCGGGGTGGCTCAGTCTGTTATGTGTCTGCCTTCAGCTCAGGTCATGATCCCAGGGTCCTGGGATCGAGCCCCACATTGGGCTCCCTGCTCGGCGGGAAGCCTGCTTCTCCCTCTGCCACTCCCCCTGCTTGTGTTCCCTCTCTCGCTGTGTCTCTCTCTGTCAAATAAATAAATAAAAATAAATAAATAAATAAATAAATAAAATGTTGAAAGGATTAAAACAAACAAATGAGAAAAACCCAATCAACCCAGAATTCCATATCCAGTGAAAATATCCTTTAAGAATAAAGAGAAAATAAAAATACTTTCAGATAAATGAAGATCAAGAGTATTTGTCACCAGCAGACTTACACTATAAGAAACACTTAGAGGGGGGCGCCTGGGTGGCTCAGTTGGTTAAGCGACTGCCTTCAGCTCAGGTCATGATCCTGGAGTCCTGGGATCGAGTCCCGCATCAGGCTCCCTGCTCAGCGGGGAGCCTGCTTCTCCCTCTGACCCTCCCCCCTCTCATGTGCTCTTTCTCATTCTCTCTCTCTCAAATAAATAAATAAAATCTTTAAAAAAAAAAAAAAGAAACACTTAGAGGGGCGCCTAGGTGGCTCAGTCATTAAGCGTCTGCCTTTGGCTCAGATCATGATCCCAGTGTCCTGGGATCAAGCCCCACATTGGGCTCTCTGCTCCGCGGGAAGCCTGCTTCTCCCTCTCCCACTCCCCCTGCTTGTGTTCCCTCTCTCGCTATGTCTCTATCTGTCAAATAAATAAAATCTTAAAAAAAAAAAAAAAACCATCATAGATTTAAAAAAGATGTGAGAAAGATGCATACCCTTTAGAGCTTGAGATAAGCAGATTTAGGTGAAAAGTGGTCATCTTATATTTTCCCTATATGGAGCTGCAAATTTAGGAACCACAGAAGAACTGATGTAGCTGAAGTTGTTCTACAGGGAACAACAGTCTGGTTGGAGGGCAGGAGCTTGAAGCTATATTTGCTTAGTGCTTTTTGGAATAATAGTTAATCTAGAGTCCTGTTAGTGCTGGGCACTGTCCTAAATATGCTTTCTTTCTTTCTTTCTAAATATTTTATTTATTTGTTTGTCAGAGAGAGCGAGCACAAGCAGGGGGAGCTGTAGGCAGAGGGAGAAGCAGGCTCCCCGCAGAGCAGGGACCCTGGGATCATGACCTCAGCCAAAGGCAGGTGCTTAACCAACTGAGCCACCCAGGCATCCCTGTTCTGAATCCTTTATTTTATTTTATTTTTTAAAAAGATTTTATTTATTTATTTGACAGAGAGAGACACAGCAAGAGAGGGAACACAAGCAGGGGGAGTGGGCGGGGGAGAAGCAGGCTCTCCGCCAAGGAGGGAGCCTGATGCGGGGCTCGATCCCAGGACCCCGGGACCATGACCTGAGCCAAAGGCGGATGCTTAACGACTGAGCCACCCAGGTATCCCTCTTCTGAATCCTTTAAATGCACTAACTCATTTAATCCTTACACCTAAGAGGAGGCACTGTTATTATTTGTAATTTCAGGTGAGGAATTGAGGCAGGAGGAGGTTCAGGGCTCTGCCCGGGGTCATATAGTTGTGAATAGTGGTGCCAGAATGTCAGCTGGATAGACAGGCTTCAGAGCCCGAATTCGAAAGACCACTCACTATGCTGCCTCTATCAGGGTTACAGATACTAATTACCTGTATGGAAAGAGCTGTCAGAAAGCTTCCCTAAACCTCCCCAGCACTGTCACTCTACAGAACTCCAGAATGCTTTTTGGCAAATTCGTGCATAAGAGACCCCATGTTGGGAGGCCCTGCAGCGGGTGCACAAACCCACTCGAGGCCTGAGGCACCACTTACAGAATTCAGTGTGAGTGGTGCCTGGGGGAGTGTGATCTGGGGCTCCAGTGTGTGGCTCCCACTGGTGCCTTTAAAATCCCAGGCTGGATCTGAGATTTCAAGGAAGCATTCCTTATGGATGCAGAGCAATTTCCCTGTTGGCTGAGAAACGTTTTAGTCCTGAGAAAGGGCCTGATGGTGTCACCTTTCGCCTTGGGCATGTGGAATTGAGAAGGGAAAAAAAAGAAGAGTGGATCATGGGGGGAGCAGATCCTGACAACCTCTAGGCCCCAACATTAACATAGAGCTAAGTTCCAGGTGGCCTACAGGTTGCCCTCTGCCATAGCCTGGATGTTCGTGTTCTGCCCAGATTCCTCCGTGGAATCCTAGCCTCCAAAGGGGATGGAATTAAGAAGTAGGGCCTTTGGGAGGGGCCTGTGGCTTGAGAGTGGAGTCTCATGAATTAGCGCTTTATTAGAGGGGTGACGGAGTGCTCCCTACCCCTCCTGCCATGTGAGGACCCAGCAAGAAACCTGTATTCTGGGGGCGCCTGGCTGGCTCAGTCAAAAGAGCCTGCGACTCTCGATCTCTGAGTTGTGAGTTCGAGCCCCACACTGGGTAGAGAGGTTACTAAGAAAAAAAAGCCCATATTCTGGAAGAGGGTCTTTGCTAATTCTGCTGGCATCCTCATCTCAGACTTCCAGCCTCTAGAATTGTGAGAAGTAAATTTCTGTTGTTTACAAGTCACCCAATCTATGTTACGTTGTCACAGGAGCCCTAATAGATGAAGACATCCTCTAAGATTTTAAAGAGTCTTTGGGCAAAAAGACAAAACTGCGGGTAGATTTGTGAAATAAGGTTGGTAAAGAAGGTGAAGCCCAGTTTCTGGCATGACAAAGGACAATTCCCATACCTTTCCCCGTCTGGAACTTAGTGACAGGGGCACACAGGGCTTGCTCGCTGTTTTTGTTTTTGTTTTTTAAAAAGATTTTATTTATTTGACAGAGACACAGCGAGAGAGGGAACACAAGCAGGGGGAGTGGGAGAGGGAGAAGCAGGCTTCCCGCGGAGCACGGAGCCCGGAGCCCGATGCGGGGCTCGATCCCAGGACCCTGGGCCCGTGACCTGAGCTGAAGGCAGACGCTTAACGACTGAGCCACCCAGGCGCCCCTGTTTTTTTTAAGTAGGTTCGCGTGGAGCCCAGCGGGGCAGAACTCACCACCCTGAGATTAAGACTTGAGCTGAGATCAAAAGTAGGATGCTTAACCAACTGAGCCACCCAGGCACCCCAAATTTTATTTCATTTTATTTATTTTATTTTATTTCATTTTATTTTTTACTGCTTAAGTTGAATGCTGGCTCCCTGCAAATACCCCCCAAATCATCTGTCAGCAAGGCAAAGCTGAGTTGATTGTCTGCTGTAGTTAGGGGAAGACCGACGTTGAGGAAGTAGAGTCTCAGTGGGGGCAGGCAAAGGTAAGATGTCGAGAGTTTTGGAGTCTGGCTTAAACTAAGTCAATGTGGGGGGGCCTCTGCATGATAACTTAGGAAAAGCAAGTAGGGGAGGGTTTCCTAAATACTGTTGTTTGATGAGCCATTTTACTCTAACGAGGCTTGGTTGGGATGTCTAGTTATTTGCAACTTCATCTTCTGGGCCGAGTTTTCTAGAACAGTAAGGTCTGATAATGCAGATCTTGTAGTCAAGTCACCTAATGTAGATAGTAAATGGTGTGGGTGTGATACAGTTTTTGAATATAGGTGAGGTTCGGTGGGGTGAGGTCCAGAGCCGATGACCAAGAAAGAATTCATGAGGCGTCTTTGGCGCAAAATGATGCTTTTTTTAAAGCACGGGGACAGGACCCATGGGCAGAAAGAGCCGGGGTTGTGAGCAGTGACTGATTATATACTTGGGAGTTGGGGGTATGGAAATTCCTTCCTTCCTTCCTTTCTTTCCTTTCATTTATTTATCTGAGGGAAAGAGAGAGGGAACGAGAGGCAGGGGTGGTCAGAGGGAGAAGCAGACTCCCTGTCCAGCAGGGAGCCTGATGAGGGACTCAATCCTGGGACTCCAGAATCATAACCTGAGCCTAAGGCAGTCACTTAACCAACTGAGCCACCCGGGCACCCCGAAAAAGGGAGGTTTTCCAAAAATTTTTGTATGCCAAAGAGGACCTACAAGATATTGGAGGCCTTGTCATTGTCAAGTTAAGGTTGTTTTTCCCTCTAGGAAATCATTAACATGAAGACAGTGGGAGTTTTGTTCTGGAAATTAGGTTATTGATAAGAATGCTTTTTTCTTGTAAATCACTAAGACAGTTTGTAACTGAGGGAGACTCGTGTCTTGCTGGACTGTGATCTCTGTAAGTTAACCATTTGTTTTTCCTTCCCTTAGCAGACCTCAGGAGTGCCTGAGGAATGTCACACAGATCCCACCTGGGGGTTGGGGTGGGGGCGCAGGTGTCAGCTTGTGCTTTGTCCTCAGCTTGCCTTCTGCTCCCCCATCAGGTGCAGATTGGCTTAGTACTCAACTCAAAAAGTTTGGCGTGTGTTACATGTCGCAGCCCAAAGGAATTAGGAAGGAAAGGGCAGGGAATTTAATAGGTACCGGAAAGTGCGAGGGCAGGTATCTGTGGAGAAAGGGTGCTTTTCCTGCAACTAGATGCCACCACCAGGTGGAGCTAGACCCTTCTGGCAAGGCCCTTCCCAAGGCGATGCTAAGTTACAGGCGGGGTTTGCTGGATACTTAAGCATGAGGGAATAAAAATAGTCCATCTCACCCATCAGATTGACGAAAGTTGAAATGTTTGTGTAGGGGAGGAAAAATAATTTTCCTTTACGCTTCTAGGTCCTTGGCAGAGAATCCCTTTTAATAGAAGACAGATTAACAGGAGAAAAACAAGTTTAATAACATGTACACCTCCTGTATGCATGAGATACCCAGCAAAACCGAGTAACTTCCCCAAAGGATGTGAGTCATCATCTTAAATACTGTCTTTAGCTAAAGACAAAGATGTTGGGGGTGGGGGAGAGCCAGTTAAGGGAGGTTTTCAGGTAAAGCACAGTAAGCCAGGGTAAAGAGGTTATGCAGATTTAAGTCTTTCCCTTCTCCAAAGATAAAAGTTTCCAGAGATTAGGTCACTCCCCTCTTCCTGTTACAGTGAGGGAGGCATCCTTACAAATGGAGATTTTCCTTATATATGCAAATATCTCTTACAAAGGGTCACTTCTGTTTTTCAGAGCTTTTCCTGCAGACACTGTTTCTTTAAAACATCCCGCTCAAGATAATCCTTATGCCAAAGAGGCATATTTGGGGTGACGTTCTGCTTCCCTTCATTTGATAATATGCTCGATTTGGCAAGGCTGTGGGGAAAGAAGTATTCAGATATTGTTGGTGGGAATACAAAAAGGTATAACTCTGATGGAGAGCAATTTGGCAATATCTTAACAAAACGACATACACAGTTAATATTTAACCTGGCAACCCCATGTCTAGGAACTGATCCTGAAGCTTGAGCTCTAACGATACAAAAATACATGTACACAAAATTACTTAATTGCAGCATTATTTGTAATTGCAACATATTGGAAACTACCCCCAAAAGTTCAAATATACAGGCATTTGGTTCAATAAACTATGATATATTCACACAATGAAATCCTATGCAACTGTAAAAAAATAGTGAAGACTTTGAAGGGGAGCAAAATATCCCACCCCAAAGTATGCCTCTGGCATGCTGATTATTTTAAAGTGGTTATTTTTAAGAAATTACAGGCAGAAGAGAAATGTGAAAACTGACCCTTTTGTAAGAGACATTTGCATTTATAAGGGAAATCTCCATTTGTAAGGGTGTCTCCCTCACTTGTACCCGGAAGAGGGAGGTGACCTAATCTCTAAAAACTTCTGAATGGAGAAGGCCACAAGGTAAATCTGCATAACAACCTCACTTTTGTTTACTGTGCTTCTCTAGGTCACCTCCCGTAACTGACTTCTCCCCCCCAACAGCTTCTTTTGTCTTTAAGGTGCTGGCTTCAGCAATTTCAGGGAGTTTTCCTTGTGTACAGGAGGTATACATGTCATTAAACTTGTTTGTTTTTTTTCCTGTCAATCTGTCTTATATCAGTTTAAGAACCTAGAAGAGAATAAGGAAAAATATTTCCTCCCCTACAGTTCGTATTAACTGATTTGAGGTATTTTTCCAGGATATATTTGCTAAATAAAAAAAAAAAAAAGCAAGGCTACCTTTTTGGTAAGAAAAGGAGATAAAATAAGAACACGTACTATAAGGGCGCCTGGGTGGCTCAGTCATTAAGCATCTGCCTTCGGCTCGGGTCATGATCCCAGGGTTCTGGGATCGAGCCCCACATCGGGCTCCCTGCTCGGTGGGAAGCCTGCTTCTCCCTCTCCCACTCCCCCTGCTTGTGTTCCCTCTCTCGCTGACTCTCTCTCTGTCAAATAAATTAAAAAAAAAAAAAAAAGAATGCGTACTATATTATTTTTGCAGAAACACACAGGAAGATAAAATTAATGAGATTGGTTATCTACAAGAGGTGATAAGATTAGGGTGAAAGAGACAGGAGATGGAGTGTCACTTCTCCGAGTGTACCGTTTTGCCTAGTTTTGATTTTTGTAACCGTTAAATAACAAAAATTCAACTGAGTAAATTTTTTTTAATTTTTAATTTTTTTTTAGTAGGCTCTATGCCCAGCATGGAGCCCAACATGGGGCTTAAACCACCGACCCTGAGATCAAGACCTGAGTTGAAATCAAGAGTTGGATGCTCAACTGACTGAGTCACCCAGGTGCCCCTCAACTGAATAAATTTTATTATTTTTTCAAGGTTTTACTTATTTATTTGTGTGAGAGAGAGAGAGAGAGCACAAGCAGGGGAAAGTGGCAGGCAGAGGGAGAAGCAGGCTTCCTGCTTAGCAAGGAGCCCGATGTGGGACTTGATCCCAGGACCCTGGGATCATAACCTGAGCCGAAGGCAGATGCTTAACCGACTGAGCTATCCAGGTGCCCTTCAACTGAGTAAATTTTAAAGATCTAATGGGCTTTATTAATCAATTCATGAATCGGGAAGCATCCCATCTAGCAAGTAGAGGGGAGCCCCAAAGGGCTACAGAAAAGGGAAGGTTTTTAAAGGTAGAAAGGGAGTGGGAAAAAGGAAATTATTAACAAAGAATCTATTCTTTTAGGCAAGGTCGTCTCCTAAGAGTTACGGTAGGGGTCTATCAGTAAAATTCCTAGTACTGACCAGGAAATCCTTTGTTGACTGGTTAAAGGTTAGATTTCTGGGGGGGTTCAAGCTATTTTTAAGTTAGGCAGTATGGTTTGGTCTACTGACTTGGGGCCTTAACCTAAACAACACCATTTGGGGTCTCTGGTTTTCTTTTTAACAGAACCATGTTAATGTTTTGCACATAAAAAAATAAATCATTGAGGGCGCCTGGGTGGCTCAGTCAGTTAAGTGTCTGCCTTTGGCTCAGGTCATGATCCCAGGGTCCTGGTATCCAGCCCAGAGTTGGGCTCCCTGCTCAGCGGGGAGCCTGCTTCTCCCTCTCCCCTTGCTCCACCCCCTGCTCATGCTCTCTGTCTCTCTCTCTCTGTCAAATAAATAAATACAATATTAAGAAAGGGGGGGGGCATCAGGGTGGCTCAGTCTGTTAAGTGTCTGCCTTTGGCTCAGGTCATGACCGGAGTCCCAGGATTGAGTCCTACATCTGGCTCCCTGCTTAGTGGGAGTCTGCTTCTCCCTCTGCCCCTCACCCTGCTCGTGGTCTTTCTCTCTCTCTCTCAAATAAATAAACAAAA